ACCATCACGATAACAAGTTTCCGCAGAGGCCAGAAGACCATTCCAGCTGCAGGGAGGGGCCCGAAGGAGAGTGGGAGTCCTGGGCACAGACGGCCCTGCAACTGCATCCCCAGGGTCCCGAGTGAGGGTCAGGTGGGGCAGCTAGCAGGGCTGGTGGATGCCCCCCCCCGCACCCACCTGCCCACCACACTCAGAGGCCCCTCCCCCTGCTGCTCCCTCCAAGTGGAAAAAGTGAGATCAGGCCCTGGCTGGCTCTGGATGAGCTGAGGGAAGTGAGTCACCGTGCGATTTCCCAACCCTGAGCCCTGTGGCCAGGGGTCACGGGAGCCCTGACGTCAAGGTCAGTGTGAAAATGCCTGTGGACAGGGCTCAGGTCTCCTCAGCTGCGTCCAGCCCCTTGCTCCACAGTCGTGAAAACTGAGACCCACATGGGAAGGGTTGTCCGAGGCCATACAAGCGCCTCACGTGGGACACGACTGCAGCCCCTTGGTCAGGGCGCTTTTGTTTCTCGAGTGTCGCGCTAATAAAGTGAGGATATGCTCAGAGTACGGCTTCATAAACGGAACGCATGTGCAATCCACACCCAGACCAAGACATAAAACGTTCCAAGTACCTTAGAAGGCTCCCAAATGCCTTAGTCACCAGTCCCCAAGAATGACTACTAGCCACGCTCCCGCCATCACGGGTGCATTCGCCTGTCTGTACTGGTTGTGCTGTGGGCACCCTGCTTCCTCCACTGAACTGGCATTTCTGAGATGCATTCACACCGGTTGTCTCCACGTTGTATGTGACTTCGTTCTGCTGTCGAGGGGCACCTGACACCTCTGGATTCGCTGGTCCCAAAGTCAGTGGGCGCTCGGCCTTGGGAGAGACATCCGAGTGGCTGCCCAGAGGCTCTAGGACCTTACGCGTGTACCCTCCCACCCACGGGACAGGAGGGCTCCTGGTGCCCCACACCCTTGCCATGACTCGGCTCACGCTGGTGTTAAACCCTGGAGTTTTAATTCTCACCTCCCTGAGGTGCGTACGTATGTTCGTGCTGAGCCTGCCAGTGGTTTGCTCCCTCTGTTCCGACACATGCATCGAAGCATCTGCCTTTCCCTTTGGCTGTGGCCTGCCCGTGTCTCTTGAGAGCTGCCTGGCGTGTGTGGGAGACCCCTGTCCAACATGCCCCAGTCTCAGAACTGACAAGGAAGTGCGCCCTCTCTGGGTCCCGCCCATGCTGCGGGAGACGCAGGTGTCCACTCTGAAACTTCTGTCGGGAGGAGGTAGGCTACCGGGTCTGCCCTCTCATGGGAGCCCAGAGGCCCCTCAGATTTGCCACCATCATACACATTCCAACCCCACTGCTTGGCTCATAAATCCAAGGAAGGGGAAACAATCTTATGAGGGCTGTGGCTCCACCCCATCCTTGCTCCCAGATGGGGTTCAGGGAACGCCATCCAAGTGAGCAGCCACGGGCTGGGCCCCAGCTCTGTGTCCTGGAATGTGTCAGTCCACCCTCAGCTGCAGACACTCAGGTGACAGCCCAGCTCCCTCATCTCCCAGGGGCGGGATGGCTCAGATCCACTGACAGGGGCACTGGGTGCACAGGGCAGGTCGTGCCTACTGAATCCTTGGGGGATGACCCTGGACCCTGCTCACTGCCTGTCGTTTACAGACTGACCAGTTGGAGGGCGGCCGTGTCATCGATGGGCAATGGCACAGCTCCAGCCCTGAGTCCTTCACCGGCCCTCCTGGTGACCCCAGGCCACTAGGGGCAGACTGCTGCCTGCTTCTACCGTCAGGACAGATGACTGGTCTTTACAGCAAGCTGACACGTTGGAGTGTTTCCCACACGCCACCCTGTGTTCTAGGTGTTTCTACGTGTGTTCGTTACTAATATCTCATAAAAGGTCTATGAAATAGCTGCTGTTATCATATCCATTTCAGAGACGGAAACACCAAGGCACCGAGAGGTTGAGTGACTGCCAGGTTCCAAGCCCAGGCTCACAGGCACCACCGGGCTGCGGCAAGACACTTGGTGGGGCTGCTTCTCTTGCACCTGGAACCCTCCGTCAGGTCCCCCCATCGCACACACCAGACCCAGAGACCCCAAGTAGAAGCAGCACAGCCCCCAGAGAATAGGTTGATTTCCTGGTATACCAGCCTTCAAGTACAATCTCTGCCAAGACATCCTGGGGTTAGAACATAATGGAGGTGACAACCGCCGTCTCATTTCAGAACCTGTGCGTCTCCAGTTCCCGGCAAACGACCGGCTGGCGCAGGCAAGACCCAAGACGTGCAGGCCCGGTGACATAAGACACTGTCCACCATGCTGTCAGCATGGCCCTGCCCTGGCCACTATCTGGGCCTGACTGTGGGTGGAACTTCCTTCCCAGACAGAGCCCACTGTGGCCGGGGCACCCTGAGGGCTGGGCCTGCTTCTGGGCTGCAAGGACCTCCCTTCCACAGGGTGATGGGGTCCCCGCTGAGGACAGGACAACGGAGGGCTCTGGAGGAGAACGACTGTCCTTCCTGGGAGGACTGCGTGGGGAAGGGGCGGGCGAGGAGAGTAGTGGAGCCTGTGGCCCAGCCTGGGGAACTGCCCTGAGAGCCCCACTGGCAACCCAGCTGCCCTGGAAATCTGCCAGGCTCGGTCCAGCTTAGGGAGTCCAATGGCCACTGGGCTCCTGAACTTGAGCTATAATCCTGGGGCTGGTAACCTAAGCGAAGGCCAAGCCGCAGGACAGAAATGTCAGGAAGGGGTTAAAGGGCGGGGAGGGTCCCCTGTCTTCCACAAGCTCCTTCCCTGTATTTGCTGGAACCCTTCCTCCCTCCCTCCTCTCCTCCCTCTCCCACATGACATACTTTCACACAAAGGCAGCCTCCTTTCCTAAACCTCCCTGCCTTCCAGGTTTTTCTGTGCATTTTTTTTGAGCTGTACTATTTTTCCTGTACATACTACTCTGTAGGCTTACCCCCATGAAATTATACCTCAGAAATACTCCACTGCCACAAACACAACTCAACACAAAATGATGTTTCACCATATGATTGTATCGTAATGTATCTCCGGACTGGTAGGTACTTACATTGTTTCTGATGTTCTATATAGAAGTAAACATCTTTCTGCACGTAGCTTGGCTGGGGTCACTCATTATTTTGCGAGGATAGATTCCCAAAGTAGAACTGCTGGGCCAAAGAGCCTGTGTGCTTACTTCAAAGGCTGTGTGTGTCACAATCTCAAACCCACGGAGTATAAGTACAGTGTGAGGGTGTTTTCCTATCTGCTGTGAAAGTGTGTTGCTGACGAGATGGCTCCATAATCCCCACATTTTCCCTGCAAACCAGGACCCTGCTATGTCAAAATCATGCCAGGAAGCGACGGAGTGATAACCCTGCTTCACTCCGTCATTCTAACCGTCAGCACCATGCAGCCCTGCCAAGGATCCAGCGCGGGTTCCTGAGCCACGGATCCTCTGGAGTCAGAAGAGCTCAGTCCTGTCTGGACTCCCACAGCAGGCACGTGTGCCAGTTTAGTATCTGATAAAGGGTCTCTGTACCGGACACTCTTCGGTTAAAACACTGTGCTTCTTCCTGTCCACCTATCCTTCCAGATGAGCTTTTGAATCACATTAGTAGGTGGTGGGCTGCCCCCTGCAGGCCTACGAGCCATGTCCTTGCCCAGCCTCAAGACCAGAGAGCCTGGAGTCAGCGGCAGAGACATCAGTGGCTTAATGGACAGGGACCTTATGCGTCTGAAGCAAGGTGGGGACTGTCTTCCCTCCTGGAGGGAGGGGGCGTTACCAGTTACAGGGGGAATTGACGTCAGGCTGGCTCACCAGTTGAGTTACCAGGGAAACCAGTAGAGGAGCACGGCCCTCCCTGTCCCTGTGATAAGCTACCATGGTGGAGATGTTTAGCTCTAAGGATTAGAAGTCACTAGCTGGGGGGACCAGGGGCAAGCATGTAGGCATTTTACTGACTAGGCTCTAGGATGAAAAGGGAAAGTCAGTCATGTGAGTGGGTGTAGGTCAGGCAGGGACTGGACGACCAGGGGGCGTCCACAGAACAAGAGAACCTCC